TTCTCAACTGGCGTCGCTTCTGCTTAGCAATTATCCGGGTCCTTTGTGTGACAATGCGCGAAAACTGGGGCTCTTCGGATGTTTGGGACAATTGCTCCTTCAAAGGAATGACCGAGACAACTTTTCTTGGCAACGCAGTGGAGGATACAGGCACGCGCACGCGTTCCCTCTCCCATTTTGAGAGCTGAAGAAAACTGTGCGGGGGCTCTCCTCCTCTCCAGTGCATTGCCAAGAAAAGTTGTCGCCGAGTATAGTGCTCTTGGGAGGATAGAATCAGAATGCGTCTAAGGAGGAAGGGAAACGTTTCACGAGACGACTCCTTGTAAGAACGAGCTGCCATTGCCCGACTTAACACACTGACATGGACTACAACTTCTATATCAGGAAGAAGGAAACATATCACCCTTTTAGTAATAACCTTCACCGTTGAATGAACAGCGGAACCGGTGAATCGACTTTTTTCTGAGTCACATCTAAAGAATCTATTCATTATGTTTAATACTTCTGTCGTGTGCGCTAGCAAAACCATTGTTCACTTTGAGGCGCATATGGTTGTTGCGGTCTAAACAGGAAGACCTGAGTTTTGGTACACATAGACCAACTCCGCTCTTTGACGTCACATCACTGCGGTGGCGCTGCTGACGGCACTGTGCATGCGCAGCGCCTCGCTTCTTCCGGATCTGATTCATGCACACTTGCTATCTGGGCAAATTAGGGCTTGTTTTGTAAACATTGTGAAGGTGTATGCGATAAATAAAATAAGCACGAATTACTGCCTTAAGGTATTCAAAAGTAATGTCAAAGTAATTTCAAAGGAATTTCATTACTTTTGAAAAGTAATTGTAATGTAATTTCATTACCTTTCGTCTGCGGTAATTTGTAATGGAATTTAATTACAATTCTTTAGTTTTCAGAAAAGTGATTTGTAATGTCATTTAATTACTTTTTGAAAGTAATTTTGCCATCTCTGATGGAAAGTCCTATATTTCTTTATTTTATATTGGTCATTTATCTAAACCGTTATCTAAACTTAGTCAATGAGCGATTTCTGAAAAAAAAAGAAACTCATAATGTAGTCAACACCGGATGTTACACCGAACATTGGCCAATATTTTCTTGCGAAAATATGCATCGGGTGCCTCAATAGCGACTGCTGAGAGACCAACGTAACGATGTACCTACATAGCCTTTAGTGTAATTAAGTGTTTTACTTAGATTTGTGTTACTAACCTTGTAGTGAATAAAATCACATAAAGCCCTCCGATTATACGAATACCGGACAAAACTTCACCCATTTTTTACAAATGCAGACTAAAGCTCACCAGGAGAACATTTCAAGTTCTTAGCACGAGCGCGTACAACTTAGGTACATGGGTGCGACACTGAAATTGAATAAGTTAAATCGGATAGGGATTTGTTATATGCGAATGCAGTCTCCTACAGCTTCCAGCAGTCGTGATGGATATCAGTGTACCTGGAACACCTCGTAAATATGTTTCACGGGGTTTTGTAGGCAGAGTGGTTTTTGGCACCCGCTTCAAGGGGCTCAACTATCCTCGCTTTTGTCAATGACATGGCAGCGAGTGCCTTATATTGCTGTAGTTATTCAGTCAGCCTCCAGACGCTTAGATTGCCGTGGCCGACAAGCTTCCGGATCCCGCTATTCCATTCTTAGCAGACGTTGTTCGCCGGTCTTCACCTCGATGAATGGCGTCGCACATATTCCACCGCTCCTTGGTAAACTCCGGTCGTCGCCGGAGCACAGCCAGGAAAAGCGAAGAATTCGCTCTAGGTGCCGCAGCGGAAGGAGCAGAAGTAACACGGAAGGGGCCATTGACATACCTGAAGTCAGAGTAGTCCAGCAGGTACCCGATGTCCCCAGTGGACTTTTCCCTGATGGAGGTTAGTCCTTCAGGCACAAGCTGTTTTGGAAGGAACGTCAGCCAGTCCAACACCTCCCAAAACTTTCTAGATTGGCCGTCAATCTTGTACTTGTCCAAAAGGCCCAACTTCCGTACCTGCAATATATTTTTGAAAATTTCAAAGTCTATGATCTGCATCTGTATTTATTTGTTTTTATTTTATTTACAATACTGCCAACCTTTCGGTCTACACGGCAGAGTAAACATAAAACACATAATAAATACATAATCGCGCACTTTGTGCGGGTAAAGCGTGCGCAAGCCATTCGAAGTGCCTGCACATACTGTTTACATGCAGTACTCCATTAAAACAAAAAAAAAACATTTATTAGGACTCTGAACAGCTCTGAATTGCAACAACTGACAAGTTCTTCTGGCAGAGCGTTCCACTCAATTATTGTTCTGCAAAAAAATGAATACTGTAAACGACTTAATTTTCGCGGGCTCAAATTTTCGCGAATCGGGCCAAAGCTGAACATTTGAAATAATTCGCCGGTTCTAACTTTCTCGAATCGAGTGTAGCTTCCGTAGCGTTCACATATTGCCCGAACTGTTCGCAGGACGTATTTTTCGCGAATTGTAGGCGATTCGCGAAATTCGCGAAAATTAGGTCCTCGCGAAAATTTAGTCGTTTACAGTATTTGAACATATCATTCTTGTATTGATAAACTGAAATGGCTTTGGCGTTGCTCGTTCTTTGGGAACTGGCTGTCGAACGCAGCTGATACCTTTCAGAATAAACTTTTGTCAGTCGGTTTACCATAATGAATAATTTTTTCAATCTACAAATATTTCTGTTGTTTTCCAGGCTCTTCAGCTGCGCCTCAGCTCTCAGACGATTTATTGAACACTCTGCCCATACTGCACGACCGCTGACAAGACTACTTGGCAAGAACTACACATGGTCGTGGGGCGAAGAGGAAGAGGAAGAGGAATCTTTTTGTCAGCTTAAAGGGGTACTCCGCCGATTTCTTCATGGTCCCCGATTTGCTTGAAATTTTGCTAAACTCGCCAAACAACATCGCCAAAATAGTATCCCAAATATTGGGTCAAAATATTTTTTTTCACGAAGTTATTGAATTTACAATTTTGGTCCTCACCGTGTTTTTCAAACTGAAAGTCTCTACTGGCAACAATGAAAAAGTGACGTCATTGGAAGTGCAGGGGTTCACTCTTTGGACTGTAGAATTTGTTCCCAACTGATTTGAAGCAGTTTCATGGTGTCAAATGAATGCCTTGGAAGCTCGCTCCAGTCCCCGCGCTCCAGCACGGAACAAATAATTGGCATATTCTATTTTTTAGACTGCTCGCCCGACTGGCAAGCTGAACTTCCACTGACGTCACGGCCCTGAAAAGGGCGGGTATATTTGAATGTCTGTTTTTGCATCATTTTCATTTGCCGATTTCGCAATAACTGTTATGAATTTTACGATATTAAATAGCATTCCAGAAAGGGTAAAGGCCTGGGAGTCAGAAAATATAGTTAGTTGAGGTAGCTCAAAAATCGGCGGAGTACCCCTTTAAGCGAAGGCTTGTCGAACGTCCGGTACTCGCACTTTATGACCACAGCGTTCGAACCGAGGTTCACACCGATGCAAGTAAGTCGGGTCTTGGCGGACTCCTGACGCAAGAGCAGAGGGGCGGAAGAATGCACCCGTCATTCTTCCGCCGCAGGTGTATCACTCCTACGAGCTTGAGACCAGCTCTGCAGTCTGGACTTTGAAGCGTCTACGACAATATCTGCTGGGCATTGACTTTTTAGTTGTTACCGACTGTGACGCACTGCGTGGAACAATCAGCAAGGGGAACTTGACACCACGTGTAGGCCGATGGTGGCTGAAGTTAGCGGAGTTCGGGTTCAGCATAGAACATAGAAGTGGTACCTCAGTGCCACACGCCGACGCACTCAGCAGATCGCCATGTCGAGGAGCGGAAGAGACCGAAATTTGCGACGGCTTGAAAATCTTGGCCACGACAGCGGAGAGCAGCAGCAACTGGATCGTGACGACACAGGCTCTCGACCCGCAAGTTAGAGCCATACGAGACTTCCTGAAGCGAGATGACACGACACAAAAACCACCGCAGGACCTCGACCATTATGAACTCAAGGACGGAGTAATATTCTGAAAGGTTGGAGTTGGGGCAACACGGCAAAAATGCTCTGGGTAGTGCCAAAGTCACTGAGATGGCTAGTTGTCCAGCGATGTCACGACGACATTGGGCATTTCGGCGTCGATAAGACGTTGAAGAAACTTCAAAGGAAGTACTGGTGTGGGGGCATAAAGCGCTATGTCTGCCTGTATATCGCGGCGTGCATGGAGTGTCTTTACCATAAAACACCAACGGCAAAAAAAAACAGGAATGCTCCATTCAGTCGAGAAGAAGGAAATACCATTCCACACGGTTCCTCTCGACCATTTGGGGCCGTTCACGAGAAGCAAGCGGGAAAACTGTTACATCATTGCTGCTGTCGACGCGGTCACAAAGTTCGTGATGCTCAGAGCGGCACGGGTGCACGAGCGCGGTCCGATTCCTGAGGGACATCATTGGACTGTTGGGCCCACCAGCTCGCGTAAGAAAGGACTGTGGAGTTGCCTACACAAGCGTTACGTTCAGGAGGTTCTGCGCTTCATTTAACGTGGTACACGTCCTCAACTCGACTGCAACGCCAAGAGCCAACGGTCAGGTTGAGCGCTACAACCGGGCAATTACGCCAGCGTTGGCAAGTTGGACCAAACGCAGCGAGACTGGGATGATGTTCTCGAGATGGTGCAGTGGGGTTTGAATACTGCCTAACAAAACGCAACTCATTCTACGCCATTTTACCTGCTATTTGCCTTCGGGTCCCGAGATATCAACGGTGATCCTCTGGCAGATGAGCTTTGCTCACACGATGTGACAGCTTCTCAAGGAGTACAAGAGCGCCGTAAAAGAGCCGTACAAGCTATTTGCGTTGATCAAAAGAGGCAGCAACAACGTAATAACAAGAAACGTCGACTGGCGCGCACCTATGAACCGGGAGATATTGTTCTCGAGGAAAGGGATCCTGCGTGTGCCGGTGAATCGCGCAAACTTAAGATGAAGTATAAGGGCCCGTACGTTATGACCAAAATGCTGCCTCACAACACCTACCGCCTTGAAGATCTTTCCGGGCACCCACGAACTCAGAAGCACTCTACGAGCACGGCGCCAGTTCACAAGGTGAAGCCTTATTTTTTTCTTGAAGCGACCGCGACAGCGACAGTGACAGCGACGGCTCTGATCGGGACGATCGGGAGCAGGATGGCTGAATGTTAGCGGCCACACCTTCGCCACAAGACACGGGCCAGGCGGAAGCTGGTTGGCAGTCCCCAGACAACCCCCCCGAGCTCCCAACTCCGGGCCCCTCCATCAAATAACACGAGCTCCGGGCTTCCAAGAGCCACGGCCTCTCCTTCCCGGAAACAAGCGGAGCTAGCTCCGGACGGGCATTCCTTTCAGAGACCGCGAGCCCGACGCACCGCTTTGCGGACGGCCCAATCGGTCATGCCCGCACATGCACCGACTGCGTTCCCTGTTTGAAGAACACAAAGGTTCTGGGAGGGCATCATAACAGATTTGGCAGGGAAATCATTGAGTCATTCACCATGAACACTGTTGACAACAATGTGTCCGCGCGGCGCTCTTCATCAGATAGTTTAACACGTACGGTGCGTACACTTGATAGTGTCTCCTAGAATGAAGCGACACTACCGCTAATCGGGCTGACAAACCTCATCTCCCTCAGTGCGCACAGGTGGTCAATCTTTTCCTCGTCTACCTCACTCCTTTTCGCCTACGCCTCTAATCACATGATTTCCACGTTAACCAATCAGCGTCGAGCCCCTCACTCCTCCTCGCCCACCCGTCAACCAATCAGTGTCAAGCCACGCGGCCACGTTTTTATCTGGGCTTCATAAAGTGAACGTTTCATGCTAAAACTATATAGGCGCAATGCCCTTTGCGACACACACCAAAAAGTCTACTGTACTGAAAAGACTAGCCTCGTTAGTTATTCTCTCGCCGTTAGCGCAGAACAATTGAATTTGAGACACTCCACCGTTCAATGACTTCAACACGCAGTGACATTTATTTCTTATTTGACATATTCATAAAAAACTACTATTATGCACCGTAAAACTTCGCAGAATGATGAAATTATAGATACTGCAGCTCTCAAGTTGAACGAAGCATCCCGATCCTGAAACAACACAGCGAGACAAGACGTTACGCTTATTCATCGTTGACTTCACGTCATATTCATTGGCCATAATATACGTCACTGACATATGAACAAGCGCAGGGCGTGGCCTATTATCGTCTCTTTACTCTACGCTTTGTCCTTCGCCGTTCTCATCGGTCTCTTCAGCAATCTCAAGGCCCGCAGAGCGATAACAATATAACTGGGAATCGCTAGGCTGTGAGTTTTTTGAAGCCGTCGGTTACATGACAATTGTACCCAAAGTGCTCACGCTGCTAAATAAAGATAAGCTTTTTGGTTATAGCAAAGCGTTATAGCTAGAACCTTGCGGACATCGAATGGATAAGATGGACCCACATGGGTCACCCATTTCTTCCCGTGGGGGTACCGACTGGTGATGCCTGAGGAGGCTTACCAGGTAGAGATAAGCGTGAGCCTCAGGGCATATGCATCAGGAAGTCCTAAGTGGCGCGTATCAGACAAGTTTCTCTTGCAGACAACTCCATCTCCTTATCAACCGCGTATTCATTTTTCTCTGCCAAATACCAAAGTTCACGTTTGCCCACCTATCTGTTGATTGTTGGGAACAAAAACAAAGTACCCCCCCCCCCCCCCCACTCAGAAACAAGTTGGTACGCCACTGATCTTAACGAAGTTATGGGTGAAATATGTTATATGTGATAATATCAGTCTCAACATTTACTCCTTGAATGTATTTGGTTCATCAAATACGGTATGCCTTGCTTTCGCGGTGTACAGAAGTAAGGCTTTACTCAGACGGCTATGACTATGTGACACGGACGCTTCACCACTACAAACTCTTAGAAAGGCGTTGTTAAAACTGTCATGAGCAGAAAAGTAGGCGAGCAGTTAGGAAAGAACTAAACCTCACGCAGCCCTAATTTTGAAAAACAAAAACAAAGTTGTTAGGCATTATGAATTGCTTAGGAGGTAATCAATGCTTGTAGATTGTCAAGTTAGGCTTGTTCTCACGTACATGCCTGTGGGCGAGGAAGACTCTAGTGGACGTACGTATTTCTTACACCGAACATCAGAATCTTAAATTAAGTTTCTTTGAATTGAATTTGTTCATATTTAGCGAACGGTCAGTTGAAGAGTCCAAAATCGAATAAATATCGTATTTGTTTTGGAGGAGCACTGCCTAGAGTAAAGAAATATATCATATTAAATGAAAAATAAAGTATAATGTAGGCCTTAGATATGTAACCGACGTTTTTTGCTTAGACACAGAGCTTTTTCGATGATTTTTTATGCGTCTTTTTGCATGACTTTCTACCGGCATTGGCCTCTATCATGCTGTTTTCTAAATCACGTCTTGATTTATTGATGATCTCCCACAGGCCTTTGGCGCCACAGACGCCATGTCAGACTGAGTATGCATTCACAGCAATGGAAAAATCCAAGTGAACATCTCGGACGAAGACATACTCGACTGCTGCGATACTTGTGCATTAGGGTAAGCAATTTAATGAAAACTTTTATTACTGACACATTTGCCCACCCTTTAGCACAGTTCTTTGGGGCAAAATTTCTTTTTTTCTCGTAGTATTTAGGAACTTACAAAGCATAAAAAGGCCAAAGTAGGGCCAAACTTGACATTCTTTGTGCGTGGGTCCGGGTATTCTGGCCTAATTCGCCAAAAACAAATACCAAAGTCACTGTTCGTAGTTTTGATGTAAGCTGGCAGCTTCTGGCACAAATCGCCAAACAAGCGCAGATAGGCTTCACTTCTGGGTCTTAAATTTTCTTTCCGTGTTTTCTGGCGTGCATATACCCTACATTTTCCTAAAGTTCCCTAAAATTCCCTAAAACTAACATCTTCGAGGAAAACGAACGTGCCATTCAAATTCATTCGATAAAAATACCCTAAAATTCAACTCTAACTTGTTCCTTTCAAGAATGAGGCATTTATATGCCTTTCTTCTATAAAACAAGTGGTTCCTCGAGCCTGATAGGAGAGGGCGGGTGCCACCTCTTAGTTTTACTCGGAGTACCGCAGGCTTTGTTGGCCAATTTAATAAACTCATAGGTAGTATTATGTCATTAAGTACGGTCGTTCTAGGTGTCACTAAAGAGAACTGCATTGTTTTCTCACTACCGAAAATGAAGTTTCCCTTTAAAGGGAAACTACAACAAAATTTCAGCGCCCATTGCTTAGTCTGTACGTGGTTAAAGGAAGCAGTATTACATTGGACACACCGTTCTCTCGTTAAGAAAGACAAGAAAGGAATTTTAAAACGAACTGAATGATTACTAAATTGCACCTAGTGGATGTTGCTAAAGCCTCGTTTGTAATGTTCATCTATGAAGATTGACATTTAGGGGCGATGCCTGTCTCGCCTTGAACTAGAGGCAAACAACGGAGCAACGCCGTTCTGCGGAAGTACGGCTCATCATGCGTGTACTCGTTCTCACAACGCCTCCTGTACAACAACCATTTCGATACACGCCGCGGCTGCCAATCGCGCCCATATGTAGGACATAAAAACAAAATATTTCTTGATCGCGAAATGAAATAGAAAACTTACCAATTTGCGGCAACCACACGCCGGTCTGGCGGTGGCGTATCCGCGGCCCGTCTCCATCAGACGAAGACGACGCAGACGGGTCTTCGTCTGAAGACCCCTCCGCGTCTGAGGGCCTTTTCGACGCGGAGGAGTAGAAGTAGTTACGAAGTACATAGGGCCCCTTCCTTCTATGTGGACGACTTGGTTACTGACACAGACACCGAGGAGGAGGCCATCAAATTAGACTATGAAGCAAAGTCTATTATGCAGGACGCAGGAATGACTCTCCGAAAATGGACGACGAATTCACTCGTCTGCATGCTTGCCATCATGCTGCACTCTTCTTCGCCACTGCTCGACCAGTTTGGTCTATTTTAAACACGCTTTTATGTGCGTGATTGGTCTAGTCGGTGATAGCAAACCCGCAACGACAACGACCGCCGTGACGATGCACTTTTCGCACTGCTTGATTGGCTCCATCAAATTGTGCTGTCGGCTAAAGTGAAAAGGAGTACAGGTCGTCACTACTTTAGCAAAAAAAAAAGTACTTAGGTACAAGTAACGCGTTACGTATACAGGTCGGGTATTAACGTTTTGGTTCGTCAGTTGCAAAGGTGGGGTCCCTGCGGCTGCCTGGCAATACTGGAAGGAGAGCGGACTTGTAAGCGGTGGTCTCTACTACTCCGAAGACGGCTGCAAGCCTTACTCCCTCGCTCCCTGCGAACACCACACCAAGGGTCGCTTTCCCAACTGCACAAAAATTGTGCGCACACCCAAGTGTGTGCACCGCTGCAGGGAGGGCTACGGCAAGGACTATCAAGATGACAAGCACTTCGGTATGGTATCCCCGGTTTGCAATCACCTTGCCTAGATTTAAGACAGGGAACAACTCAACCCCTGGAGAGAATTTACAATTCAGTGGCCGACGCCGCATGGGGTCGCGAGTGCGCATGCGTTCCGTTGTCGCGTGGAGAGCAGGAGAGCGGTCGGAAAGGCGGAGACACTTGCAGACGATCAACGCTTTCGTCACCTGCTCGCGACTCGCATCGCAACTGCGGCCCGTTAACCACCTGACCCCGGCAGTTGAAAACACCGAAATATAGGTACACTAATGTCTCCTATCTGAAATTCTAAAGGTAACGTACAAGGGTTTGAAGAATATTGAGTTTTAAAATAGCGTGCTCCAAAAACTTTATGATAAAAGGAATAAAAAGAGCGTCGATGTCTTTCTCCAGTCCAGAACACGGGTTAGGTTCGGATCATGTGCAGTAGCGACGACGCTGTTCCTTTCTTTTTTTTATATGCGAAGCTTTTGGGTATGTTATTCTAAAACTCCCTAATTTAACGTTCCGGTATATAAGGACACGATCCAAATGATGAGATTATGAGGGATCCTGCGTCGCGAAGTTGCGCTGAAGAAACACGTAAACAATGAGACGATATGATAGACAGAAAAAGAACACGACGTACATCTGAAAGCGCAGACTAACCACGGGAAGAACAACGTTTCTTTTTCTTTTTCCTCTATACCCGAGTTTTAAACACGAAGATTTGCCTGGTAATCATTAGAGTTAAGTTCTAATGAATATCAGGCAGATTTTTTAATGATTATCAAGCAAACTAATGCCAAATTGGTGGAGTATCCTACTTTTGACTAAAAAGAGTTCGTTCATGTTTGACTTCTGTATTTTTTTTTCTTTTTTTTTTATTCCACAGGCCAGAAGGTCTATTCTATCTCCAGAGACGAGAAGCAAATCCAGACCGAGATCTTCAAGAATGGACCTGTGGAGGCTGACTTTAACGTTTATGCCGACTTCTTGAGCTACAAATCTGGTAATTACGTAACAATGTTTTACGCGACGAAATTGAACGACTAAAGGCCGGTTCACACAGTTGCGTTTGCTTACGACCGAGTTCTTGCGGTCTCTTACGACGAGAAAACACATTGGCACGCTGGCACAATCTATGAGCTAGCTTTGAAACTGTATTTCAGTACAGCGAAGGTTTTGAGAGGTATTTGCTAGATAAAATGTAAGTAGTATCTATGAGAAATGACTGTTTATAACATTGTTAAAATATTTTTTTTCCAAATCAATAAAGAAGAGAATCATGCGCGAAAAAAATATGTACGGACATGTCAGGTACATGTTCCACGGCTGCCCAATAGGTGGCACCGGTGTGTCCTTTGGTGGTAAAAGATTCTATTGTAAAAAAGAAAAGACCGGATAATATGACAGAGAAGCCTATCTTGTTTTGTTTTGTTTTTCTCTCTTAACATACGTATTTTACTAGTAATGGTTTTAAGAACTGTAAGGCACGCGGTTGAAAGCCGTTGCAAGTGTGTGACCCAGCTTTGAGAGAACCGCAAACTGATTAACATTAAAAGCATGCCGCAAACGGGTGTGCGCCATTTTTTTTTTTCGCTTCTCCAAGCTCATCATTTCGAGGCACGTTACCGAGCCCTAATAAGAATTAAACTAAGCAACGCGATGTAGACAGAAAATACTGACTGAAACATCTCTTCGTTGCCGGAAGGCCTCATTGAAAACAAATCGCCATCCAGTTTAGTAAAGGTGTTCAAAACACTCAAGAAGGTTTTTTTATTAAAAAAAACAGTATGGGGCACCATTGAACAAAAAATATTAACGTTCCAAGCATAGATATTTGCACCACGTGAGACAAGCGGCAGCGAAAAAACCTTGAATGCGACTATGTCGCTCTAACCCTTCTTAATATTACGCAGCGCAATAACAGGTTTGTAATAATACCACGAAACCACCCCGAAACAAATGACCTGCTGTGACTGGCCAACAACAACTATTCTACTAAAAGACTTGTTTCTCATAATGGTTCCTCAATGAGCGGAAGTGACGACGTTTTTCATCTACTAACGCAATTCATGCGATTCGTTAACGCATGCATGAAAGAAATACCTTTTTCCGATACCTTAAAAGTTCTTAGTATGGTGCGACGGCTAGCTTCCTGTGGAGTGAGGATTTTTTGAAACGCCTTAATGCGCTGAAACTCTCTTATCATGTTCTATTATGTAAGCACCCTGATAATCACTATCTCCCGTTCCCAGGCGTGTACCAACACCACAGCGGTGACTTTCTCGGAGGCCATGCTATTCGCATCCTTGGATGGGGCACAGAGAACGGCACCCCTTACTGGCTCGTGGCCAACTCCTGGAACGAAGACTGGGGCGACCACGGTGAGATACTCAAGACCACAACTACAAAACAGGCGACTCTGATTACGCTAAATTTCCATACTATTTTTGTAATTGAAGAACTAACGTCCCTAGAGAAAATTAGTATTATGAATGCGTCCAATAAACATCTGAAATAATGTATGATCATTAAAAAAACTCACATAAGCGTTATATATTATTCATATAGATTTTTATATGTTGATTTTAGACATCATAGATGAACTTTTTCTATTTTCAAAATGTGCTGTCCTAGACCGTTCACAGTTAATTTATCTATAGAAGGAGGAGCAGTATAGTTCTAAGTCTACACAGATTAGACCTATGAAGCGCATAAATATATCGTGAGGCAAAATTATAATTCATATCTGACCATTTCCCTTGTGAGTGTTTCTCCGGCTTGTTACATCTTTATTTTTATATTCACGAGCGGTTGTCTGTTTGCATATTTTTTACGCGCTACTGAGCGCTTTTCAACTATTGCAAAAGCTTTTTGTGTACTTCATACAGAACGTTCAAACACGGTAAACGATGTTTAAACGCAGACCATGACAATAGGCACGGCTTGTCATTCCTTTTTTATGCGTGCATTTTAGAACAGAGACTGAGAATAACTATCTAAGAAGGTGTAAGTTGGTTGTGATGGAAACGTACTGAGAAATATATTTGGGATTGAAAGAAATAATATTAGATACAAGGCATCCTTTAATACTTATCTCTTAATTTCATCCACTTGAACACGAATATGTGCCACTTAAGTTTTGAAACGCCTTCCTTTTTTATGTTTGATGATAAAGACGGCCGAGAAAACTTTTGTGAGTTTATACCCCGTGTATTGTGCTTTAACATCAACTAGAGATATTCAAATATTCAAACGTGAGATGTTTTGGTGCACAAATATTTATTTCGTAATTTTCTTCCAGGTTATTTCAAGATTCTTCGCGGACAGGACGAGTGTGGAATTGAAGAGGACATTAACGCCGGTATACCCAAGAGCGAATAGATTTAATAAAGCATTTATCAAAAGCAACTTGAAAACATATTGTTTTAATAATTTACTCTGACTTAAAGGACCCTCCCCTTAATCCTTCGTAAATATAATGGTGAAACAATATAGTCACAACGTTCTTATGGCAATATTTTGCATTGGCATTCAAATAGTACTGTCAACTTGATCCAAAACAAATTTGTCGGTACAAATTTTATTTTACAATTTTATAACACATTTAATACAAATTCCACATTTAATATTGTTTCTCAATTTGTATATTCAAAATATTTTCGCTTTTACATCATCAACTGTTAGTGGCCTGTTCACACGGTTTTTCTGCGGCGTGAACGTAAACGAAAAGTTTTCCGCTAAATTCAGCGAAAAATTGACGTTACTTGATCTATGCACCAATTCAGTTTCCCCACCAAATTTAGCAGGAAAATTTACATCACGTGACCTATGCAACAATTCAATTTCCTGCTAGATTTGGTGACAAAAGAAATCACGACCTTAAAATATTTTATTCATCAACAACGTATCAACGCTAAATCAAGGCAGCGTCGTTTCAATATCACATCGTTTAACGCACGATCGGCGCAATATCAATCGATCATCATCGTCTCGTCGCATAAGCAGCACAGCTGACGCTGAATAAGCGCATCACGTTGTGTGATCATCGCGCAATTTTTTTTATGTGTAATTTGTTATTTTGACAATGGTCGCGCCAAACATATGCCCATTATGGCGTGAAGAAAATATATGGCCCTGAAATAATGTAAAATGTCCAGCTATTTGCCATTATTATGCTTCTTTAATTTTTAAAATACGAAGGAAATCCTACCTCTTAAGAAAGATGTGAGTAGACCCGTAAAAAGACGTTTGTGCCTGACAGCGCAATAAACACTTCCTGTGCATGTTTGCTCATGCATTCGGATATATCATGCCACCTGAAGCTCGTGAATCGACCAGCAAATATAACTATACTTTATCACAGCTGCTTTACATTGAGTCCTGCTGCGAAGATGGCGTATTAAAATTAGGGCTTGTCTTTAAGGTTTCCCGTTCACTAAAGGTGTCCACTATAATTCGATTATACGAGTGCTGTGCAAACCACTGCATTTGTATAATGTTTACAGATTCTGGTGTTATATTTTGACGAAGGCTCTAACTTTCCGTGTTTTAGTGGAGGCTATAAGTCTGCCCGATTGTGAACTACCGTTTAAGTTTTGTGAGACGCAAATTTTCTAAATTTCATAAGCCGAAAGAGACTACCAAACGTAAAAATATTCAGGTGCGCGAAAAACTACAAACAAGTTTTGTTTTTTTTTCCTCTTCCTTTGTTTATTTCATATTTCTGAGCTTTTTTTTTTTTTTTAAAGGTCGCGTTAGTGCCAAGTCAAGCATGTTATATTGTACGCTTTAAGAAATGCCCACGCGTCTACTTACCCTCGAAATACTCAAAGAGCCAATCTGTGCAACCTGCCAAATCAGCTCAGCGGATGATGAGGAGGAACATCCGTTTAGGACCTAAGAATGAAGTCTGCGTTGTGTCATTACGCACTACAAAGTGTCAAGCTTGCATTGCGTAATGCCACAGCGCAGACTTAAATTTGAGGTTTAAACAGATGTTCCGCCTCGTCATTCTCTGATCTTATTTCGTAGATTGCAGAAATTGGCTCTTCCAGTGCTTTGTGGGACGTGCAGGTATTTCTTAGAGTGTACCGAAAAACCCCGTAGACGAGGGGACATAAAAAAGGAAGCAAACGCTACACCGTCTCAAACTCGCGACTCTTAAGACAAGTAACGACCTCTCTTCTCAGCTTCTGAACATTTTCAACGCGAGGATGAACAAGACGCCCAAGGCTGACTGAACTTTAATCCCAAAAGAGTCAACAAGTAGTACCGTAAATCTTCCTGCTTTATACATTTGCAACAACAACAAGCTATTCTGCCCTAACTCATTCTTTACCTGTTTTACTTTCCTGAAATCTTTCTCTTCAAACCGGAACCAACCATTCTATGTTTCTCGATTATTTTGCATTCGTGAAATTCGGGAAATTGATAGCCTTGGCGAAAATGAGGTCGCTTACATTATTTATTTTCCAGAGAAAGAGTACAAGTGCGTGAGCGTGTCTCCGATTTCGCTTTTTGATAAGGAAGTAGCATTTATAAGTGAGTTCAACAGGCTCGCACAAATGTAGGGGGTCAATTCTTATGTTGTTTTTTGTTGTCATTGCTATTGTGATCAAAACTTCGCGGAATATTTTTATTTCAAATAAACAGTTATAAATCATCACACTATCAGTGTACATCTTGTGAATGCGCCTTGTGTTTTGTTATTATACAAGAGCGATGCGTAACCTACTAGCCCGATGTTCTACCCCACAATCGTTTTAGTATCTGCCTTATTTTAGGTAGGTCACTGCATTATAGGAAACAAAATATATAAAAGCCGATGCCCGTATAAATTGCAATTTTGATGGTGTAACACTTTCAGATAAAATCCCAAATAATACACGTGGCGCGAAACTTGTGGGCATCGGATGAACACGATTAACCCCCATAGGCCCCTATTTTAACACAGAAGGGTTGTCCACGTGTTATGCTTAAAAAGGCTTACGTGAAAAACATCAGCATGCGCCTCTGGGCATATGGTCTTTGAGGTCACGGGTGACCCTCATTGGTTGAGTTTCTATTTGAGACAACGATCATACTCCTTATCAGTCGCGTGTTTATTTTTTATCTGCAATTGCACTAACTGTATGTTAGTCCACCTATTTGTAGATTGTTCTAAACAAAGCACCAAAACCCACAGTCAAATACCGAATGTGTAAATAAGTGCTATGAGACACACAAACTGCGTTCACGCGAGGGGACCTGTACACGATTTCTTTAAACGTTTCATGGAATGAGATTCCAACTAAACAACACCGCAGTCCCGAGGAATCTGAATCAGCATTGAGTCGGTTGCATGAAAAACGTAGACATCCTTTTGTCTTCACGTTTAATAAAAATCTAAAAGTTGCATTCTGTGTACACACCAAAACAATACAGGCTAGCTGGTGAGAATTCACCTTTGTAAATATCAGAAACAGACCTAATTGCATCCAAAATTATGATACCGTAGTAGCCACACAATTATGCACTAAACAGAAGTTAAAATAACGAAGTTCACAGTTTAACCCTGAGTTTGCTGGTCAAAAAGCGATTTCAGGTAAAATGGTACCGAAGCTTTGTATTTAACAATCCTGAAAGCCTTCTATTCATTTATTTTATTTTGGGAATATATTCGAATCGTTGTCCAATCCAAGCCAGTGAACGCTTTCTGAAAAAAGAAACTCATAGTGCAGTCAACACCGGTTGTTATACCAAACATTGGCCAATATTTTTCTGACAAAAATATTTATCGCAAAACAAAAATAAAGAGTTGGTGCCTCTATATTTATTTCTGAGATGGCAAAGTAAGGAGGTACCTACATAGCATTTAGGATAAGTAAGTGTTTACTTTGATTTTTATTACTAACTTTTAAGTTAATAAAATAAAATTAAAGCCCGAATTATACACTTGCCTTAGCATTATTAAAATGATTGATTCAATAATTTTAGAAATACCTATAGCGTGTTAGAAGCGTGGTGGCGCAAGAGTTGTACTTACGCTACAGGTGCAAGGCTGGCAAAGCAAAAATGCGTCCAAGAAAAAAAAAAAGAAAAAGAAAAACGCGCGGGCTCGTTGAGTCTGGACGCTTTTTTGAAGAAAAGAAGAGAAAGCGCTCCAAATAGTCCTGATATTAACAGATTTTGTGGTTTCTGATAGTGCACAGGACGCTTCTAATTAAACCTATATGTTTATTACAACGAATAAAAAAGGTTGACTCTGCAAGATAATGAAAATGTAAATTACTCTGAGCGCTTCATACCTCAACAAATTGCATCTTAAGAATGATTAAGTTCTAATTATATTTATGTGCCACGCGTAACAGTCACTCGAGAAATTTTGACCGATGTTCCGGGAGACCCTGATTAGTTTACCCTTCGAAGCTAGTCTTCACAAACCGTTACGGCATATCATTGTTTCATATATTAAATGTCGCGATTTTTCCTTCTTATGTTTCTATGTGGCTTGAATATCTGAAGACTTAAATTGCTAAACGTTTATGGAATCTTATTTAATCTACCCAGTATCTGAAAAAATTCTTAACTAAAAGAAATTACAGCCTACCTACAAGTTTCAAGAAATAGAGCCGATCTTACGAAGTACCTTGACTTGAGATGAAGTCCAGCAAAACATTTATTCATCACACAACGCCAGCCAGCTTCGCATAACCTATACCGTTTATCTTAATCCTTTTGTCAACTACTATTATATATATATATATATATACACATATATATATATATATAATAAGGAAATTGACAATTTTTAGAACACAACTACTTTGAATTCGAAGGCCGACACGTTCTACAGACTCGCGGAACTGCAATGGGCACAAAGATGGCCCCTAACTATGCAAATCTTTTTATGGCCAATTTAGAGTCACGCTTCTTGTCTAGTCGCTCTCTGCAACCTCTGGTTTATAAGCGATACATCGATGATATATTTATGGTATGGGCACACGGGGAGTCAGCACTCACAGACTTCATTCGGGACTTCAACGGTCTCCACCCCAGTATTACGTTTTCGCACAGTTATTCTAAAACGAGCATTGACTTTCTTGACGTGACCGTCGAGATCAGCGGAAATGCTCTTACAACAAAACTCTTCAGGAAGTCGACGGACCGTCAACAGTACCTGCACTTCAAGAGCTCCCACCCTAAACATTGCAAAACAAGTATTCCCTTTTCTCAAGCTCACAGATTCCGGAGAATATGCTCCAGTTTAGATGAATTCGAACGCAACGCCAGCAATCTGAAACTCGTGCTATCCAAGCAGAATTATCCACCAGCCATTGTCGATAAGGCCATTGAAAAAGCACGTGCTCTCGACCGAGAGCAAATTATCAATCAACCCCAACCCAAAATGTCACAAAACGAGCACGCAAACCTGGTGGTTACATACTCAGCCCGCCTTCCAAATTTAAACAATACTCTCAGGAAACATCACAGTATTTTGCAGCAAAGCGATAAACTACGCACCCTTTTTCCGGTATCACCACGCGTGGTATATCGACGAGGTAGAAACCTCAAGGACATATTGGTGCACTCAAGAAATAGAACTTCTGACGTTTCTGGTTGTAGACCTTGCCAGACGCCCAGGTGTGAAATTTGTGAATATGTCGAAACCACCAATCTTGTCACTAGCGCGAACTCTGGCTTTTCTTTCAAAATCACTGGAAACCTCAACTGCGGTACGCGTAACGTCATTTATCTTTTACGCTGTAAACTATGTAATATGGATTATATAGGACAAACCAGTACTTCATTTCGGTTGCGCTTCAACAATCACAAGTCTCATATCAAGTCCTTACCCACGCTCCCCTTCTCAAAACACATGCATCTTAAAGAGCATAGCATTGAAAAAATACGTGTCATCCTTCTGGAATCTGGATTTAGCTCTGATCACGACAGAGAGTTGAAGGAGGCTTTTTTTATTCACAAATTCAATTCGGTTGCTTGTGGTATTAATGCAAGTCCAGGCGTGCTCACTTGGCTGCCACGCTGTGTGTAGAGTTCTGAATATTTTGAATACCCTTCATAGTAACTCTTCCTCTTCCACACGAACATCAACAAGAAGAAGAGGACATTTCACAACCATTCACCCTGAAGAAAAGCGGTCCCCGCTTGAAACGTCGGTGCAGTAAAGAAAGGCCTTTCCTGGATCTCCTCCACTTTCGTTATATATATATATATATATATATATATATATATATATATACAGAGAGAGAGAGAGGGAGAGAAATTTCTTCTACGACCATGAAAGGACTTTGTTGCAAAATAGTTTAGATAATGCCGAAATAGTGCAGCCTACCGCAAGAAAACTCCCGTCTCAAAGAGAAAGCTGGGCTTTATCACCACGGTGATTCCGTTGCGTCGGAATTATTCCCACTTTATTGTGAGGCACACTCAACACACTATCTCGATAATGCACTCTGTGTGATATTGGCAATACGAAAACAGGCATCATGTGAAGAGATAAATCATCGAGCACTATCTAGCAGCATTCGACTAACGCCTTCCGGTCCATTGTGTTCTCCCGGTACCAATATAGGTCGCTCTTTCTCTTGCAAAGATTAGATAACAAACTCAGACCTGTCTTGTGCTCAAATAAGGGGTATTTAGCCGTCGAACATCTTATTCAAATTCGTCGGTGCCTGCAAACGGTCACAAACAGGCAAGCTGTGATTTGTACTATAGAAAGAAATCTAGCGGCCATATTATAGGTGTTTTGTTTTTCTATAGTAATCCCGAATGAAATAATTGCTGGTTAATATTTTCCGTAAGGGTAATCAGAGTTAACCTTAAATATGTTAAAATGCTTACTTATGACATGTACAAAAGTTCAAAAGTTTGACAATGGCCACAGAGGTGGTGACTCCTCATCTCAACGCGTCACCAGCGAACTTGTTAAAATTGAACATTAAGACTATGAAGAAGCGGTGCCTTCTCGGCAACACCAAAATAATGGATGGGCTACTTCATTTCCATAAAACACGTTTTAAATACGCTCCTCTGTTTTATCTCCTTTTCAACGCGCTTGATTTGATTTTTTTTCTAGACGTTCAGGTTCTGTAGCTTGAAATACAAAAATAGTAAAGTCGAAAATTGTTTTTATTCGACTGAGTACTTTGGAAAAATTAAAAGTAAAAGTAGTTTTTTCTTTGCTTCAGATATGCTGAAGTCCCTCCTTGTCGTGGGCCTTTTGGCCGCTGTTTGCTTTGGACGCGAGATTCATCCTAAGAAGTGGCACCCACTCTCCGACCAAATGATCAACTTCATCAACAAGATCAACACAACTTGGAAGGTACGCCATGACACAGCCCTTACCATATTCCAAGAAAAACATTTTCTCGCTCTGCTTGATTGAGTGAAACGACTGTGCGGGGCTCAATGCTTACCGACTTTAATTGACGGAGGTAAACAAAATTATTAAGGATGGCCAAGGCCTCCAGACCACTTATGTAAAGTACGCATTTGCGCGCGAAATAATGAATTGGAATTACGTCCAATAAAGCTTTTGTATGCTGGGCACTATCTTTTTCTAAATAGGAGTAATTATTTTTTCGCTCCCGTATCCTAATACAAATGAGATGTACATTTAGGCAAATATTTATATTGTCGATGGCAGCAGTAAAATATAAATACTCGGGTGGTTCTCGAACTCAGCAGGAGGGTAACTGTGACTCCGAGTCGAATACAAAATATTTAAAAAAGCAGTTTTTAAAGAGTCACATTTTGAGCAAACAACTAGTATATGGTGTATATCTGCTTTATCACTCAAGATGAGTAACCTGCAAAAATGTCTACCAGAGATTGTCTTTAATGTTACAAACCAAAATACCGAAATACGCAGTTATAATTGTTAGATTATATTTTACAAAAAACAATTATAGGATGTTCAGTGGACATGCTCCACTGTCACCAGCACTACAAAAGAAAATACTATAACTTCTCATCGCACTTACAGGCAGGAAGAAACTTCGACAAATCCATCTCCATGAGGTACATCAGGGGTCTGATGGGAGTGCACCCCAAAAGCAAGGAGTACCGCCTGGCAGAGTTCGTGCACGACGAGATCCCAGACGACCTCCCGGAAAGCTTCGATGCACGGGAGAAGTGGCCCCACTGCAACTCAATTCACCTTATCCGCGACCAGTCCACCTGCGGTTCCTGCTGGGTAAGAGTGCCCTCACCATATTCTAAACGAATACATAAAAACGCTTACATCTGGGTCTTGGTAAGAGCATCCTGTCCTCACTGGTAGTACATCTTGACAAAATTTGGATATATCTCTCAAGGTGTTGACATCAGTGTTAGTACAGTGATTTTATTTTTGGTATGCCTTGCTTTTGCGAAATACAGAGCTTAGGCATGAAGGACTCTTAGAACATGACCCAAGCCCTTTATCGCTTCAGACCCCAGGAAAGGCGCAATTAAAATGATGACGGCAATGCCATTAGGCAAAAGCTTATAAAATAAGTATTAAATCAAATTCAGTCCTTATTCCGGAGGTCAAAGTTGTTAGGAATAATAGATATATTAGAATGTAATCAGTGCTTGGAAAATGTAGAGTTATCCTAGTTCTCATGCTCCCGTCTGAGGGTGAACAACCCTCTTGGCACATATTTAATATTCCCACCATACAGAGGAATCCTAAAGTGAGTTTCTCTAAATAAATTTTCTTCGGACCTAATAGAAGGTTAATGGGAAAGTTCTAACTCTAAAAAAATAGTGTATTTTTTTATGAAGACCACTGTCAAGAGGCTCTAAAAATGTAGCATATTAAATCGAAAGGACTGTCCTATAGACCCCCAAGTGTAGGCCGACGTTTTTTGCGAAAGAAACATACCTTCTTCGGAGCTTCTTTTATATAAATCCTTTTTAATTTCTGCCAGTCAGACTTTTTTACATCGTTGTCTTGCGAGAAGTCCGGTCCTAGAGTTATGTATGATATCTCACAGGCCTTTGGCGCCACGGAGGCGATGTCAGACCGTGTCTGCATTCACAGCGAAGGAAAGGTTCAGGTAGACATCTCAGCCGAAGACCTCCTGGACTGCTGCCATTCCTGCGGTTACGGGTAAGCAATTAAATGCAAACTATTGTCACCGACGCCTTGAGAAAGGCAGGACATGTCGAGTCTCCGGCATCTGGTTATCACTTTGCCGTCAATGAGATTAGGGTGGTTGCCGATGCGAACGCCAAACAATAGATCCCGAAGCAAGTAGCTTGAACATAAGCCACATCCTACGTTTACTAAGCTGCCCCCCCCCCCCCCCCGCCCCTTCTTCTTTGATTTCGCCACTGCTCAAAGCAAGGACCGTGGGATACCTCCTGCTTGTAGCTCTGGCTGTACGTCGCAGCTTAAAAAGTGAATGGGGTATAAGACAAGGACGTAGACGAAATGAACAAACACAAAGCATCTACGTCCTTCACTGTGATTTCAGTGCTATTACTTTTTAAAGGCTAAGAATCAACTATTGCACCTATTCACTGCATTGGGGTATAAGATAAACATTTTCTAGCTCGGCTGTGGAGTACATCAGTGGCCATCCTTGAAGCAGATTCTGTTTTCTCACAGAACTCATCGAGCATTAACATTTTCGTTCTTCAGCTGCAACGGTGGGTACCCTGCTGCGGCCTGGGAATACTGGAAGCAGAGTGGACTCGTCAGTGGTGGCCTCTACGGCACCACTGACGGCTGCAAGCCTTACTCTCTCGCCCCCTGCGAACACCACAGCAAGGGCTCTCTGCCCAATTGCACCGGAACCGTGCCCACGCCCAAATGCGTGCATCTCTGCAGGAAGAACTACGGCAAGGACTACCAGGATGACAAGCACTTTGGTAGGGAATCCGCTGCTTGCAGTCATATTCCTCATAGAGGGCCTAGGTTTAAGAGAGGCCGCAACTCGATTCCTGAAGGGCGTTTGGGATAAAAGGGCGGACGCCCCCTGGTGAAATTGGTCACGAGCGCGCATTCGTTGCGTTGTCTAGTGGCGAGGAGGAAGGCGGTTGGAAAGACGGGAATCTAAGCACACACGTCCTTCCCATCTGAAGCCATCAAGTTAAAGTTATAAATGCTAGAATAATAGAAAGTTTTAGAGTAGAGTGTACAAAAGATTTAAATATAAAGAGAAATAGCTTCATTGCCATGCTCCAATTCAAAACGCAGTGTAGGTTCGGCACATGTGCAGTAGCGACGACGCTGTTTCTTTAGACACAGACAGCTTTTGGACATTCTATGGTGAAGCTTCCTAATTAATCTTCCAGTAAATATGGGCACGAACAAAACAATGAGAGCAAGCTCTTTTACTTTTGGGGTTGTCCTCGTAGTCGCAATGCAAGCTTTGAGCTTAAATTCCGCAACTCCTTAGTCCAGCTCGTTTGCACTCTTGTCCTCTTGGGCATCAATGTGCAAGTGTCATCCTGGACGCTCTCTGTTTGTAGGGCATTGCACACAAACAAGATGAAAAAAGTGCGGAAAATCACCCCTGAGTCTGAGGACAGCATCGATATGCGACAACGTGTACTAGGCAACGGGTACAGGAACACAGAAAAGCGCACAACGCCAAATGTCGGGGTTTCCCGCTTTTTACTGCAAGTAGTTTGTTCGTGTTTGACGTACGTTTCATTTATTTGTTTACTGCACAGGCAAAAAGGTCTATACCATCTCCAGAAACGAGAAACAAATCCAGACCGAGATCTTCAAGAACGGACCTGTGGAGGCTGACTTCAACGTTTACGCCGACTTCCTGAGCTACAAATCTGGTAATTACATAACAGTGTCTTACACGACAAAAGTGAACGATGAAAGGCCCGTTCACGCTTTACGACCGAGTTCTTGATATATCTTACATCGAGAGAACAATCTGGCACGCTGGCGTCACCTGTGAGGAGACCCTGGAACTGCATTTCACTTGAACAAAGGTTTTGCGGTATTTGAAAAAAACATCAAATGTACATAGCATTTATGAGTAGGGGTCACTTATTGTATTATAAACAGTTTTGTCAGTCAAGAAAAAATAATGAAGGGCGATAAAAATGAAGAATGTTTACAATCGCCTGTAACGCCGAATTACCGCTCATTCACACTGTAAGCGGATCCGCGTTCGCAAAGCGGTTGCGAACGCGGTTGTATAAAGATCCAGTACAATTGCACGCGCACTTGATGTCATCGAATGCACGGCCAATTGTACTGGATCTTTATACAACCGCGTTCGCAACCGCTTTGCGAACGCGGATCCGCTTCCAGTGTGAATGAGCGGTTAGAGCGCAGCTGTTGGGGGGAGGAGGGGAAGGTACAGAGAGGAGGCTATTCCCGTCTTCCTCTCCTGCTCACCTCCCGTTTAGGGGAACATTTTCTGCTAATTTAGGAGGGGAAATCTTTCTGCTAAATTTAGCGGGAAAAATTTTCCGCTAAATTTAGCGGGGAAATTTTCCGCTAAATTTAGCGGAAACATTTTCCGCTAAATTTAACGTGGAATTTTCCCCGCTTAATTTTTTAGCGGGGAAATTTACCCATAATGCACCGCGCGGTTACGCCGATGCCGACGACAACGGCGACGCCGTTCAAGCCGGAAATGGGCGCCTGAGAGCTGCGCTGTAGAAAGAAAATATACAGAAATGGCAAGTGTCTCACGGCTGCCCGATAAAGTGTGCCGGTTTGTTCTCTCGTAAAATATTTTAAGAGGTTTGAAACAAAAGAGGTTATTATGATGTGTGCGCTCGAGCAGTGGTTCTCAAATGGGGGTCCGCGAAGGCATTCTAGGGATCCGCGAAACCCTGCCTTATCAGTCAAGCCCAGCAATAAATTTTTTTTAATCAGGTTTAGAAGAAATGTTTCAATTTTCGGATTAGTTTTGTCGTGTGCATCTCTATAAGAGAAGTCCACTTCAGACTAGTCCTTAGTTATATCGACTTATAAAATAATTATCGTAATTAACATATAACGTTCCCTTCCCCTCACCACGAACGGGGTCCTCCATCATTCCTGCCGATCCATGGGGGTCCGCGAAACATCAATGGTTGAGAACCACTGCGGTAGAGGTTCAATTGGTGCTCGCTAGCGTCTATGCGAATCGAAGCAGACAGAAACCAGTGTACTTTTGCGGTGGTATAGTGCATTCTGATGGGAAAACGCGCGCGCATCTCATTTCTGCGCCAGGAAACAACAAGCATCTATTTTGTTATTTCGGTCGTACCGAGTAGTATGTACCTTTATTCTCATTGAAAGAGTGTAATTGCTTTAGTTAGAGTATTTTTCTTTGTCAGTGAGCGATGTTAATTTTCGCTATATTACAGACCCTAACCTCTGTTTCATAGCAGGTGTGTAAAAAAGAGCGACACTTCTAAGCAAAATGACAATCGAAAAGAAAATAGAGTGTGTTTAAAGTTATCCAGCATTCCGGTGACGCTTATATATTGATAATATGCTCGTCTTGTCACGATATGAAAATGACCCCGTCGTGCATCTTTACGAGCGGTTAAAAACATTCGAAACGTAAAAAGTAAAGTATGTGGGCTATGAAAGGCGTTTTTTCTTATTATTTTCCTTGCCGGGTAGCTTTTATCGCGCACTTGTTCTCTGGCGTTTTCCTATCTTCAAAGCTTTCGAACGAGCTGGTGATGTTTTGAACGCAGAACAAGCATCTTCGAACATATTAGTGAACAGAAAGAATAAACCAGTACTTATTAATTGCAAATCGAGCTATATTACATGGTGAAGAAAGGTAAAGAACACAGGCGAGCTGGTGAATGGTATTCATAATAACCCTGAGAGGAAGGAAAAATAAAAAAAACCGACAGTACAACGAAGTCTCTAGAGACTTCGTTGTACTGTCCGTTTTTTAATTTTTCCTTCCTCTCAGGGTTATTATGGATATATTAGATGGTCTTTATTTTCAGCGTGTACATGCACTTGGAGTTAATGATCCCGTGTTACGGCGTAGTTCTTGCCATGTCTCTTGGTTTTCCAGATGTCCTTCTTTCTTTTGGCACGCATATCCGCCATGCTGAAAAGCGCCGACACCGTGTTCGCGCTAACAGTGTCCGACAGTGCACATAAATGCATGTGTGAAACTGTTTTAGCACTGTGTTTAATGTGCGCTGTGCATTTGAAGAATAAAAAACCGTTCTACCTCTCTAATGATTTCATCTGCGCGACTGAGAAATGTAACAAGCTACCCAGCACGTACGAGTTATTCCCGATATTTGCTCTTATAATAAACCCCAGAAAGAAAAGGCACTCACTTTTTGCCATAGAAAGCCATTACTGGCAGTTAATTTTCGACTGGTTGCTGTCTGCTTCGATTTGCATCAGCACACTAGCACCAGTTGAATCTCTCGCGTACATTATAGTAACTGTAGGTTTTAATAGAATAGAATGTATGTTTTAATAGAAATGTATGTTTTAAACCGTACGGTCTTAAGCAGTCTGAAGTACACTGCGCCTCAAACTTAACGCCGCCACGAGATGGTTCGGTTTCTTCACTTTTTGAGCTATTCCTGAACATAGCAGTCAAAATGGTTGGTGAAGATTTGCGTCCTCGATCAAAACTTAACCAGGGGAAGGTATTCCAGCAGCTGCAGCAATCAATTCATGTTTGGGTAGCATGCAATAAAATTGAATGGATTAATATTTGCGAAACCGAGTGGCGGCGTTAAGTATGGGGGGCACTGTACGTAACCCAGCCTTAAAAAACGCGAACACATTTATCGCAAAAGTATGTCACAAACGAGTGTGCGTCAAATTCTCTCGCTTTATTTTGCTGTGGCAAGTTCAGCACTTGAAGTATATAAGGTTGCTGAGCCCCAATAAGGCTAAATTCGAACAACACTAAATAGAGAGCAAATAATGATTGCAAATATGTTTTATTTCCGAACGAGTTGATCGTAAACAAATATTTCATCTCCTTAGAAAACGGGTTTCAAGGAATGACAGAGGTAATATTAAAAAAAAAAACTGAATGGGGTAAGATTGATTCAAAGAAAAACTTCCCAAGCACAAAGCTTTGCGCCATTCAGGACAGGTTGCAACGAAAAAAAAACTCGAATATAGCATCTTGCTCTATCGAGCGTGTACAGAAGCGTTTTATTCGCATCGGTTTCGATCGTTTTTTTTGGACGTAAGTTCTATTATAACCACGATCGGCTGCTGAAGAGACTTCGTTTATGTGCTCTGTTTGACAGACAGCGTTGTCGGGATATCTCGTTTATACACAGACTTGTCATTGGGCTTGTAGATTGTACTGTCTTGTCAAGCGCTGTACGTTCTCACGCCCCACCACGTTCAAGCCGTAATCGCAACTTTTTCTATCCATCCACGTTTTTTCACACGTCTCCCCTAATACGAATGCAGCATGATTTTAATAAGTTGCATTGTTCGCTCCGAGAAATATTCAGTGACAAGTCAACTTTTCGGCGTAATCCAGAGAATATATTGTTTGCGTGATCCCAGTGTTTCGCAACTTTGAGCGTTTTTTTTTTTTTTTTTTCGGGGTTGTTTTCTTTTGTATTTTCAGTGCCTCTTCTTCTTTTACCTTATCTTGCTTGTGAGATGTCGCTATGCGTTCTATGTTTGTTTTGATAGTTCTTTTTGGGGATAGCTATGTTTTCTCTGTGCTTATACTTTTTATCTTGTCAGCATTTGCTGTGTACCACACAAAAGGTCGTGTGCTGTTTGTGGACACATAAAATAAAGACTATTATTATTATAGCTAAGTTATTTAACAGGTTAGTAATAATATCACAAACCACCCAGAAACAAATGGCCTGGTTTAACCAGTAAACGGCACCTATGCTATATGCGAATTTTTCTTTCTCATAACTTGTCGTCTATGAGCAGACCTTACGAAGTTTTGCTTTTGCTCACGTAATTCGTGGAATTTGTTTAGGGAGTGATACTGCCTAATCATGCTCTATTATGTAAGCACCCTGATAACCAATATCTCCCGTTCCCAGGCGTGTACCAGCACCACAGCGGTTCCGTAGTCGGAGGCCATGCTATTCGCATCCTCGGATGGGGCACAGAGAACGGCACCCCTTACTGGCTCGCGGCCAACTCCTGGAACGAAGACTGGGGCGACAAGGGTGAGATACTAGAGAACACAACTAAAAAATAGACCATCGTTAATATGCTATAGACCAGTGTCCGCGCCAATTCCAGGGCGCCGCCATGTTTATCTACGCTCGCGCCACCACGCGGAGAGAACTGGCAGGCAGGAGGGGGGGGGGGGCGGGGGGGGGCTGCGTTGGCGGCGTTGCTTTGGGGAGCTGGATGCGGCAGGCTGTCCGAATCCACCGGCACATCGTGAACGATGTCTTCACCAGAAGCCTCCGCGACCCGTTCTTCAACAGATAAGATGTCGTGAACATTCGAGAACCCATCTCGATCAAGAAAACAAGAGAAAACCTTTCTTGGCTTAAATGTTCTCGGTGTCTGCTGACCCTTGACATTCGTGTTTCAGTCCGGGTTCATTGCGTAGTAAATATTTCGCTACCGCTTTCTTGTAGCTTTCAAATGCTTGATTGTTGGCTTCTTGTTTACGACATTACATTCGTGGCACGTTTGAGACCGATTTTCGCGATCTGCTTGCCTTTCTGCGGCAGCGCGGCTCTCCCGAGCCGAAATAAGTGGGAGGCGTTCACTTGATCGAACGCCGTTTTAGCGAATGAAAACGAGACCACGACGTTTCATCGAATGACTAGCGAATGGGTCTAGTTACATAGACAGCTCGGATTAGCTTTCTTTTGTACTGTGGCGCCTTGTCTGCCGCTGCGAAGCGGTGTAAACGAGGTCTCCGAGTATGTTAACACGCGTCCCCCCCCCCCCCCCCCCACACACACACTGCGAGCGTCTGGGTTCGAAACTATTAATTGCCAGTTATAAAGGATGGTACTTACTTGAAGTGGGAGCTGGAATTCTACGAGGTACCAGGAAACACTTACTATCGGGCAACGAAGCACGGTGCCTGTGGGGGCGGAGTCTAGGAACGCTACTGATTAATATTGTGACAGGCGATCAGTTATCACGAAACTTCGACTCGTTAATTCAGAAGTTCGCGGTGATATTTTATTAGCCCTCGTTACAGCACACCAAGGATCTTAGGCAGTGAAATTCACATCACGCAGGCTCGTCCGTCGTAGTCAAATGAGCGCAGTCGACGATGAGGTGTAATGAGCTACTAAGCTTCACAAGGAAAATGCGCGTGAGAAAGAGTTTTGAGGAAGACCAAAACACCGATCCAGCAGACGCACGTACGTACGTTTACTCCGGACTTCATGAACCCGACCGCGCAAGATCAAAGAGCACCGCCGCCATCGCCACCCGGTTTTCTCCGCACTTTGCGCGACGACGGCACCGCAACGGAGGGCACTCGCCTCGGCATTAACAATCCGCGAAATAGATTAACTTCCCACTCTTGAAGCCATTCCCAATGATAAATGAAAATACCTCGGCGTTGTTGAACATCTGACGACACAACCAACACAACTGTGCCGCTGGCTGCGTGAGCCTGACGCAACTGTGCCGAGCGCCTGCTCGGCACCGTTGTTGCTCGTGAAGGCCTGCTTATTTGTAGTTGAGACGATGATTCCACATCTTTCGTGGTGCTTGCAATAACTTCGAAGGGCAGGGGAACCTTCTCACGAGGACGTTGAATACACTAAACACCGGAGCCACCAAAGCAATCGCACAAACCGTCGCCATGTTTGCTTCTTCGTCACTCGCGGCGCGGTCAACTCGTCGCGAGATGTTTTCTGGCTCGGCTAGATGGAAACCAACAGCGGCAAAGTGGCGTATGGACACACGGCTCTCACATTACGGGCACTATACTCACATACCGCGGTAAACAGGACCGATGCCGGCGAAATGGCAGTCGGCACACCAGCGAAGAAGCCTTCAACGGGAAGCGGCGGCGCAGGCCGACGCAGCCCCCCCTCCCCGTGAGCGTCTGGGCTCGAGATCATTGTTCGCTTTTGCTCCTTGCGGTCGAGACTAAAAAGAGCACTTCCGGACAAAGGTCTATATTGTAATGCTGTTATTTTGTTTTATTGTTAAACTACTAACGTCCCTAGTTAAGAACTATCATGCAAGCGTCCAACAAACATATGAAAACATATATTATCATACAAGAACTTATAAAAGTGTTACGTTTTATTCGTATATGTTTTTATATGTTCATTGTTCAAATCATAGGTGTAATTTTTATCTTTTGAATTTGTGGTATCGTAGACCCTTCAAAGTTGATTTATACAAGGAAGAGCATTGGAATTCTCAGTCTACTAGGAATATAGAGTATATAATGACGTGATAAGACAAAAATAATTTTTAGATATCACGATTTCGCTTTTAATTGTTCCTCTGGTTATATTTTCATGAGAGCTATCAGTTTAGATATTTGTCAGGCACTACTGCGCGCTTTTCACCCATTACATAAGCATTTTGTGTACTTCAGACAGAAAGTTGAGATATTGTCAACAATTTTAAACGCAAACCATGATTTTAGGGAGAGCTGGTCATCCGCATTTTTTTAATGAATTTTAGAAAAGAGAGAAGGAAAAACTATCTAAGAAGGTCCTCAGTTGATTAAGTTAGGTTAAGAAGAAAGCTGACAAGTATTTTAGGATTGATCATAAACACAATTTGGTAATAAAGGGGTACTCTAAAGGTTTTTTTAGTTACATCAACTAACTATATTTTCTGACTCATCGGCTTTACTCTTTCCGGTATGCGATTTAGTATCCCAAAATTTATAATAGTTATTGTGAAATCGGCTAGTGAAAATAATTCGTAAACTAACATTCAAACATATCCGCACTTTTCAGTGTCGTGACGTCAATGACAGGCAGGCTTGCCAATCGAGCAAGCGGTCCAAAAAATAGAATATGCCAATCATTTCTTCCGTACTGGAGTGAGCTTCCAAAGGATTTATTTGACACAATGAGACTGCTTCGAATCAATTGGGAAGAAATTCTGCAGTGCAAAGAGTGAACCCCTACCTTCCACTGATGTCACTTTCTCGTTGTTGCCAGTAGAAACTTTCAGTTTGAAAAACACGGTGAGGACCAAAACTGTAAGTTCAATAACTTCGCGACAAAACAATATTTTGACCTAATATTTGGGATACTATTTTAGCGATGTTTGTTGGTGAGTTTAGGAAATTTTAAATCAAATTGGAGACAATAGTCGCGGTAGTAAAGTACCCCTTTAAAGACAATTCGTAGTTTAAAATATTTGACTTTATTTCATTCCCTCGAAAATTAATATGTGCCACTTGAGTTTAAAAAGGCCTTCCGCTTCTATTTTCTATGGTATAAATGTAACATAAAAGTTTCTGAACCTATAACTCATTGTTTATGTTTCTTACATCAACTAGCATTTGAATAAAATATTCAAACGTGAGACGTCCTGGTGCACATATAAATTGGGTATGCAATTTTCTTCCAGGTTATTTCAAGATTCTTCGTGGGAAGGACGAGTGTGGAATTGAAGACCAGATAAACGCCGGTATCCCCAAGAATGAACAAGTTTTCAGAACTATTTCGAGGGTAAAACGATTTTGAGACTCAGAGCGGTACGCTGTGTATTAGCTATCATAGAATGATAGATTCGCGGGATCTTTTTTTCGCAAATATTTTGCATTCTGGAAATTCGGCCAATTCGGGTCCTCGCGAAAATAAGGTCGTTTTCAGTATTTCATTTTGAGATAAGGTGTGCAATTACGTGAGCGTAATTGCACACCTTTATTTTCGTTTAATTTTTTGTTCACTTTCCTTCAATTCTTTGAAGTTCACGGTCGTAGTGTCATGGGCATTTCATAAATGTTCGTTGCTCATTGAAAGAACTGTGTGTGTCTGTGTTCGTCCTCCATGTGTTTTATTATTTCTGTGTATTCTGTAGTTTTCAACGCGCTCTGCTACGTGTTCGTGAGCGTGCCTTCGATTCCGCTTCTTGATGAAGATGTAGCATTCATGCGTGAGTTCGACAGGTTCCCACAACTGTAGAGGGTGAAATTAATGCCGTGTTTCTATCCTTCTCACTATTTTCATCTACAACTTCGGCCTATATTTGTTTCCCAAATAAACACTTTTTCAGTCTGTACATTATCTGTCCCCATCTCGTTATTGTACCTTGCGCTTTGTTAGTATACCAGAACTATGCGTAACCAACTAGCTCCACTTTTTACCCTTCGACTGGTTCAGCACCTGCCTTTCTTTAACCTAGGCCACCGCATGTTAGAAACATAATACATAATCGCCGATGCCCGAATAAATTATACAATTCTTATGGTGTAATACTTTCACGTCAAATCCCAAGTAATACACGTGGTGCGAACCCTGTGGGCTCCGGATGAATACGATTAACCCCAAAGCCTAAAAATAACAGTATGTACCTATGGACATGTGTACCAGGAAGTTGCAAGTGACCCTCATCGTTTCAGTTTCCTATTTGAGACAATTACCCTTCAACTCCTTATTAGTAACGTGTTAATTTTTATTTGCTTAACAACCAAATACATCTCGGTCAGAAATGGCAGTAGTACTGACACTACTGTAATAAAAGTACAATAATTAAATTACGTTTTGTGGTAATGAATTACTTTTCTAGGTTTGTAACTTAGTAACGTAGTGAATTACTTTCAGGCAGTAATTGTTAGAAAATTACTCATGGCTTTTTATATTATTTTGTGGGAAAGAAAAAACAACATTTGTTTGCAAGCTTCAAGAAAAAAGTGGGAATGTTTTTTGCATGGTAAAATGTCGTGAAAGGGAGTCAGAGAAATAATCGAAGGCCATGTGAGGGCGAAGTCTCGTATGAAGAACACGCGAAACTCAGAGAGGCACGCTCGGGAGGCGGAGGAGATGGAAAAAAGCCTTCGTGCGAAGACATCGCTGAAAGGCCATGGCTCACGAACTCCAGACAAGATAGATTCACTGTGCCACGTCATCACGACAGTACTATATTTCGTTCATCCTTAAGCTGACAACACAGTGGGAACGCCGAGCACAGCGGAACCAATCAACCACATTCCTTTCTTCCCCTGACCCCTTCCCTGCGCGTTGGTCTAGACGAGAGCGTGGTTTTACGTGGTGAAATATAGACGCGTCACTGAACCAACAAGCGCGTTGCTTTCACCGCACTGTCAGCCTAGGGGTGAACTTCTTAGGCTACAATGCGTATCATCACTAGTCACGTGAACACATTTTAAAACCTGAAAGGACAGCTCGGGCACGCACATCTCCAGCCTTCTTACTCTTTCGTCAAGCAAGGTTAAACCGTAGTCTCCAGAATAAATAGTTCATCTCAAAGGCTTTGTCAAGACCCGAGAACGTTTCGTGCGTAGCCTTAGCCTTGGTAAGTAAAGATGCCTTTTGTCGGAATAGACGGGAAAGGAGCAAAGGTGGTGCCGCACGCGGTACGCCTCTCTGACTTTCCTTGGGGAGTTTAGTCGGGAATAAGGAAACGAGAAGGTGCCGCCACCTGTTTGTTGGGAAGGTAGACATTTTATGGAGCTCGCGCCGTCCCGTTTCCTTTACAGGGTGATTCATTTCTGTTGAATCTGCTTGCGCTGTGATTGAGTACCTTTGTGTTTTATTTGAATGTTCCCTGTGACTGCTGCAGAATGCCACTGGGACCTAGAGCTTGTAATGCCACTATTGCGGCTTTTATTCCCGGCCCCATCATTACCTGTAATGGGAAATAAAAACAAAACGTTTGTTGGTTTATTTGGTATTTAATTGGCGACACCTCTGCCCATCAAACATCCAGCCCCCTTGTGTGACAACGTGCAAGAACTGGGACTCTTGGGATGTCTTGGAACAGTACTCCTCGAGAGGATGCTCGAGTATAAGTGAACTAATGCCCTTGAGAGGACAGGATTAGACTGCGTCATGGTCGGAAGGGAAACGTTTTCGCATGACAGCAGCTTTTAAGAACGAGTTCCCGTGGCCCGACTAAAGTTACTGACATTGACTATAACTCCTTAAAAATCGGAAGGACGGAATCATATCACCCTTTGACTAAAGGCCATCACCGTTGAATTACAAGCGAAACCAGTGAGTCGACTGTCTTTAAGTCATTTAAAGAAGCTATTCATCGCGTTTAACACTTCCGTCGTGCGCGCCTGCGGAGCGATTGTTCAATATGGTTCCCGTTGAGGTGCATGAAGATGTTACGGTGTGCACAGGAGGATCTGAGCTCTAGTACATACACTACATATTAAATAAGCACGAATTACTACCTCAATGTATTAAAAAGTAATGTCAAACTAATTTTATAACTTTTGAACGGTAATATTATTGTAATTTTATTACGTTTAGTCTGCGTTAATTTGTAATACAATTTCATTATATTTTTGCAGTTTTCATAAAAGTAATTAGTTGTAATATAATTACTTTTTGGAAATGATTTCGCAATCACTGAGACACCTACATGTGTATTGTTGGAAACTAAGCTACAAGAACCCGCCATATGAAACCAAATGTGTAAATACGTGTTAAGCAGGGTTCGCAAAGGGGCGTGGTCCGTTCAAGGTTTAACGTTTCACAGAACGAAAGCCAAACTAAACAAAACAGCAGTCCCGACCCTACCGAAAAATCCGGTATAACTTTCCCTATCCGGAATATGGAACCGGAAATTTGTTACTGGAAACCCGAAATCCAGATTGAGAACAAAGGAATAATTTCTGAAAACCTAAATTCCAGATAGAGTCCAGACGGAATCCAGATAGATTTCCGGTTCCATAATCCGGATAGCGAAAAGTTATACCGGATTTTTCGGTAGGGGAAGAACCTTATTCAGTGGTACGAAAAGCTCAAACATTGTTTTGTCTTCATCTGGTAGGTTTGCTTTTTAATTCATAAAAGAGAAACTTGTATTAAGTGCATACAACAAAAATGTCAAGCTGGCTGCTTATATTTAAACACTACAAAAATTAGAAACGACACTGTACTCAAAATTAGGAATATTATTTGCGTAATGGACTCAAAATTTTAAAAGAAAGAGTGAACGCGTATCAAACTGGAGATAAAGTAATGAAACACACAGTAGAAGCTTGAGTTTACTGGTCAATAAGAGCTTTTAGGTTAAGAATAGACACCAAATTGATAACCTTGAAAGGCTTTTTTTAATTTTGTTTTGGGAATATGTTCCGATCACAAAATAAGTTCGAACAAAAAATGAAAGACGTTTACAACCTCCTCGTAACGCCGAATTAGAACGCAGCTCTTGAGGAGGAGGAGGGGAGGGTACTCAGGAGAGGGTATGTCCTTCCTCCCTCCCCTCCGTCACGTGACGTCACGCTTACACCGAAGGCGACGGCGACACCGCTCAAGACGGAAACGGGCGCCTAAGAGCTGCGTTCTAAAACAAGTAAAAAAACTAATAATGCAGTTAAGCACAGGATATTACATTGGCCATTATTTTCCTGCAAAAAGTATGCATCCCACAAAAAGAGAGTTGGTGCCATCCGCCTTTGCTGGAAGGCCAACGTCGTATGGTACATAGCGTTTGGGATAATTAAGTGTTTTTTTAATATTTAGATTTGCGTTGCAACTTTTTTAGTTAATACAAAAAAAAAACATAAAGTTGCATTTAGAAACTGGGATTAGCGTGATCCAAAATTATTGAAGCAGTAAATTTCATAAAAAGATAAACCACGTTGGAAGCGGCGCGCGAAAGATACCGCACGGAATACAGGTGCAAGACTGCCGGACAAAAAATGCCTTAAAAAATAAAAGAAATATATATATTGCGCTGGAGCTTTGACAATTAACTTTTTGGAAGAAAAATCAAAGCAAGCTCTCTAAATGCTCCTACAATCGACTGATTTTGTGGTTTTCGATGACTTCCAGAACGCCTCTAATTAGAAATGTATGTTGATTTTCAATAAATAAAAAATTAAAGACGTTTACAATTCCATGTAATGCCGATTTAGAGCGCAGCTCTAGAGGAGGAGGAGGGAAGAATACGAAGGAGGAGGAGGGGCATACATTCCTCTCATGCAGGGACGGGCAGTATTTCAAATACAAGTATTTTAAATACGTATTTCAAATACTTTGTGTATTTTGCATTTGTATTTAATTACAAATTGGGTAATGTATTTGACGTGTGCATTTAAATACTAAAACGTGGGTATTTCAAATACAATTGTAATTAAATACAATTTTGTGGGCGAAAATACATTCCTCAAATTTATTGTCACTGTCCAGAGCACGAAGAAAACTACGTTCTGCACCGAATGCAGTGTCTCTTAATCAAGCACAAGCGTTTAGTGATTTTGCGATTACGGTGCTAGTCCAGGGCGAGAATATTGTCGAAACCAACGTTCACTGGCAGACTGACTAAATAAGTGCCTGTGACAACTTGTGATGCTTTCCAGCCTGATTTCCATCCATATTTTTGCCTGGAACATTTAAATGCGCGGGTCGTCCAGATTTTCGTTAATGGTGCGAGTTGCAGCAATAAACAATTTATTAGCGAGTGCTGTACGTCTCGGTCGTCTCGGTTCTTTGTTGGTTTATTACCAAAATGTAATCGCCAAAAAAAAAGAAGAAAAAAAGCTGCTTGACGCTCTGTACTTTTTCACCTATTACGTCCAAACTGATTACATTTTTTTGTGTGTGTGATTATATTTCTATTACGTTACTAGAGCCTCGCACACTAACTCCCGAGTGTGCAATGCAAAATTAAAATGATATACCCAGAAACCCGTCGCAGGTGCCCTGAAGTCGCTGACGCAAATTTTGAGAAATGTATTTGGAAAAGTATTTGGAGGAGACAAAATACATTTGGTTGTGTTTGTATCTTGTAATTAAATGTTTTTTTTTGGAAATGTAATTAGATTTGTAATTAAATACATTTTTTGACAAAGTATTTTGTATTTGTATTTCGATACATATTTGCATGTATTTTGCCCATCCCTGTGTGTAATATATATATATATATATATATATATATATATATATATATATATATATATAACTGAGAAGAAAAAACCCTTAGTGAAAACAGCAACAACGGACGATTTAATCTTCGACGTTTCGGCCGGAGTCCGGCCTTCGTCAGGAAGGCATATATATATATATATATATATATATATATATATATATATATATACTAAATGCTTTAAAACTTCAACAACGTTTCGAAGTGCGACTTCATTACTTTAGAGTCTTCGGCATCCTACGCTATATTTTCTTTATATACATACAGGGATGGGCAGTATTTCAAATACAAGTATTTGAAATACGTATTTGAAATACTTTGTGTATTTTGCGTTTGTATTTAATTACAAATTGGGCAATGTATTTTACGTGTGTATTTAAATACTAAAACCTGGGTATTTCAAATACAATTGTAATTAAATGCAATTTTGTGGGCGAAAATACATCCCTCAAATTTATTGTCACGACAATTCTTGTTTTTATGCATGTGGTTGTAAGGTATAGTCTCCATTCCTTATTCGGCCATGGGCTTTTTTTTTTTTTTTTTTCTCCTGCGGCTTTATTTTAAAAGCACTGTCCATAGCAGGAAAAAAACCTACGTTCTGCACCGAATGCAGTGTCTCTCATTCAAGCACAAGCATTTAGTGACTTTGTGATTACGGTGCTAGTCCAGGGCAAGAATAAAGACGAAATCGACGTTCACAGGCAGACTGGCTAAGTAAGCGCCTGTGACAACTTGTGATGCTTTCCAGCCTGATTTCCATCTATATTTTTGCCTGGAACATTCTAAATGCGCGGGTCGTCCAGATTTTTGTAACTGGTGCGAGTTGCAACAATAAAAAAATTCCCTAGCTACTGCTGCACGTCTTCGTCGTCTCGGTTCTTTGTTGGTCTATACCAAAATGTATAATCGACAAAAAAAGCTGCTTGAAGCTCTTTACTTTTTTCACCTATTACGTTCAAGCTGATTAAATTGTTTTGGTGATTATATTTCTATTACGTTACTAGAGCCTCGCACACTTACTCCCGAGTGTGCGATGCAAAATTAAAATTAGATACCCAGAAACCCGTTGCAGGTGCCCTGAAGTCGCTGACGCAAATTTTGAGGAATGTATTTGGAAAAGTATTTGGAGAATCCCAAATACATTTGGTTGTATTTGTATCTTGTACTTAAATGCTTTTTTGGAAATGTAATTAGATTCGTAATTAAATACATTTTCGACGAAGTATTTTGTATTTGTATTTCGATACATATTTGCATGTATACATATACCTGTATACATATATATATATATATATATATATATATATATATATATATATATATATATATATATATATATATATATATATATATATATATATATATATATATATATATAACTGAGAAGAAAAAACCCTTAGTGAAAAACAGCAACAACGGACGATTTAATCTTCGACGTTTCGGCCGGAGTCCGGCCTTCGTCAGGAAGACTGCTACGACAATGTGGCGGCTTGTGTTAGGTTAGGTTAGGTTAGGTTAGGTTAGGTTAGGTTAGGAAATAGTCGCGTTATTAGGGGGACTGCTTTGTCGTTGTTGATGTCGTCGGCTATCATGGACCGTGTGATGATTTAAACAGGCATGCGCTTTCTCTTTCCAGGCCACCGCTACCTGGGACCCGGGAATCCTCTAAACAACGGAGAGCCGGTGGACGGGGAGGACTCTATTGCCCGGGAGCACGACAGGAGGTACTCGGACGCAAAGACCGACCAGGACGTGTTTGCTGCCGACAAGGACGCCATCCACGACTTTGTGGGCGACTGGGCCGACAGAGGATCTTTTCACTCGTTGGTCGGTGCTGTGGGACTCGGTCTCAAGAATTTGGTGGAAGAAAAGGTACTCGGTCGTTCCCTCTATGGACGAAGTGGAGCAATGTCCGGACGGAAACGTGGTCACAGTGAATGCAGCGGGAGCTCACCAGAATTTAAAAAGCTCTACGGTAGCAGCGTCGAAAATTTCATCAACCAGGCCCTCTACTCCGGAGAGCGAGCCAGGGCAGATAGCACCACCAGTAACGAGGAAGAAGAGCAGTCGCAAGACTTGCGGAACGAAGGAGGAGCCGGCATTGGAAGTAATGCTGCGAATGACGGACTCGTCGTACAGCAGATTTTGCGCATCCCCCGAGACAAAGGAATGGTTCGGGTGCATCGTGACAGTAAACTACTTACCACCTCGGGCTATGTCACAGTGCTAACCGAGATTACCTATGCACACAGCTACAAGTACAAGGGCTACCAGACCTCGATGAGCAGACTACCCGTCGAATATCTGTACCTCTACATGACTCCGGCGCATTTCAATATGCTATCCGACAACACCAAGGCCATCAAGTGCAGTGCCAAAATTACACCGCACGGCATTCGCACTCCGTGGAAGACTGGGAGCAGCGTCGTACAACCCATCAATTCGGACAAGATGGTATACGGCGTGAGCGCAGTGGGCCTTAACCTATCTCTGGACACTGGCATGTGCGTTCCCGGTCCCGGAGGCGCAGACAATGCCATGTATACATCCAACCCCACAGAGTTTAAAGACGCGGATCACAGACACCTCATTGAAAAGTATTGGGGCATGAGCATGGACGAAAACCTGATCATGACAAAGTCGGACAAGATACCAACGTGTATGGGTGTTCCACGCCACAACAAGTGCTACGACTTTATTCACTGTGCCAACTTTGCTCCTCGCACCAACAAGTTTGTCAACATGTATCCCTTCAAGAGCCTCATTGGAACACCCATCATCAACTACGAGTACGAGTTTCAAAACGCTTGGATCAAGACTTGTCCACCGTATTGCGGCAACAGCAGGACCTATGTTGCAGCACCGGCCGACAGCCTGACCAAGACGGCCTCTAGCCTGGACAACGACAAGGAGGGCCCTCCAGGTGTTTCCTCGCCAACCAAACTCTCCCCAAACACGGAAGTTACACGGTACACCAACCCAATCGAACGTGAATGGGGCCGCCAGGGATTCGGACCCCATCGCAACCTGCACGCTGCTCAACCTAGTGTGGGTTTCGGCATCATGGCCGTATCTAAAAAGAATCTGGACCAACCGGGATCGGGGGACAAGTTTCAAGAAGTTGCTGCCTTTTTCCAGGTCGACACTGAAATTGTGCTGCACACGGATATCGACACGATTAATCCCATGGACACTTGCTACCCGGCGCAGGAGCAACACTTTGAAAAGACCACCTTTGGCATGTACGTGCCGTACAACCGGCAGACGCACCTGGGCCACTACACATACCTTCCCAAGACATCATCTCACCTCGTTCCTTTTGAACCGTAAATTTTTATTCGGTTCTAGAGCTTTTATAATGCTGAATAAAAGCGTGAACTCTGCTCAATTCAATGCTCGTTTCGTTTTCTGCTCGTTCCAAAAATTGGTCTTCGGTCTCGCCGTCTTCTTGTACCAAATTTAGGTGATTGAAATTTCCATTCATCACCTCACATGCTATGAACCACTCCTCGGCTTGTTGGGCTAGCATGCAATTCAGCCGGTTTTCCTGTTCAATTAAAATTTCATTTTCAAATTCTTCCATCAGGTTGATGATGGCAGTCAAAACTGCATCTTTGAGTGCCACGGCTCGCTCCAATGCCCTCTCTCTCGAACCGAACTCCCTCTCCGTCTCGGACGCCTCGGGGGTGTCGTCGTCGATGTCGATCTGCATAAAAAGATATACATATACTTTTTTTAATAACACCGACAACAGCTACGACAAAACAAACAGTAACTAGGGAGCCGCTAGGCCTAGCATGTCCAGACTTGCACCGTTACGTAGAGCTCGATTTTAGCTTTCGATTGATACCACTCTCGCCAACCTAGGCTTAAAAGAAAATAATTATGCCAAGTTTATCTACTTTTCATATAGGCAGTCTGGCAACCCGTGCACTTTGGCGCCAAATTCAAACGTTTGAAAAATTGCATCTCGCTTCCTATTGGTCGCAGCGAAACCAGACTTGAATTGCGGGATAGTACTCGCCGAGACCTTTCGTTTGATACCTCACACGCCGGGGTAGGGCCACACCCGAAATTTTGCAAAACTGCCAAAATTTGGACCGTGCCGAAACTGGTCGACATTGGTATCGTTGGAAAGGGCTCGAAGAGACAAATCGAACGGTACCCAACACGACTGCGTAGGGCCACATTTAGGTGCCCAAAATTGGGTCCAAAGAGTTGGCCCGGGCCAAATCCAAAAACAAACTATACCACCGAGCAGCATTCTTCGAGCTCTCTTCAATGATACCACACTCGGGCCAATTGGACAAAGTCAAATTTTTGGCCCCCCGGGCCACACTCACCGGATTTTCGGCGGTTCCTTCCCTCTGGCTATCTCCTGCAGCAGGGGAGCCTCTTGTTGTGGTCCTTGTCGTCGGTGTAGTCGTCCCAAGTACCGTGCGGTCTTATATACCCGAGCTGGTTCCAAAGACAAAGTTAGTCAAGGTTAAATTAGCATACTAAACTTTACCAATGTCATGTATTTCCTGGAAAAGCTGCCTAAAAGGCAGACAGAATTAATCAATGTGTGGTATTTCCTGGAAGAGCTGCTTAAAAAGCAGACAGAATTTATCAATGTCAAGTAAATTCCAAGAAAAGGTGGTTAAAAGCTTCCGCCTAGCAACAGACGACCTTCGGAAAAACCCTGGAGGTCACATGATCAGTGAGAATATAAGAAGCCCCACTATAGGAGCGAAATCAGTCTGCAGAGCTCGGGTGGACCTAGCAAATCGGGCAAATCCCGTGCGCCGACATCCTGGGTCCCGAGTGAACGAACGCAAAAGAGAGCGACAGAACACGAGAGAAAGAAAGCAACGTTGCCATGGTAACGCGAAGAGTGAAAACTCTTAGCAATATAAACAGTGATAATTTAACGTTGTAAACTAAATTATGAGCTATTCTAACGCTTATAAAAAGCAATAAACTCATTACGCTGCATTAACTTCCCTTCTGTCGAAATCTCGGAAATCTGGTGGTTGCGCAGTTTCGTATTCCTCAACCGCGCCCAGCCGCGCCCCACTGGCGAAGCCGGGTATATGGTTTAGTTTAGCGTTAACGCGAGGCCGTACATCTGCGCGCTTTTCAAAAAGAAAGCTTCGAAAGGAACGTGAATATCTTTCCACCGGTAAGTTCGTGAATTGTTGAAGTTCACGAAACTGCTCTGATGATGTAACCGTATTTGGGACCCAGAAGGTCTGCCTGCATGATCCGCCGCTTGCGGCAGCCAGAATGTATGGGAAAATGGCGGACCTTTTCCTCTAGAGTTAGTATGTATGATCTCTATGATACCAGGTAAGCCAGCCATCTTACTATGCCCTGTTTGAATTTTTCTCCTTTCTGTGCCTAGATGTACTACACTAGGCAAGCTTTGACTCTTGTACGGGCGCAGACATAAGGCGGGAAATTCAAACTTTCCTTTTGCCACTTGCAGAAATTTAAACGCCGTTTCTTGTTTAGGACGCAATGGAGCGAGATTCGCCCGAGCCAAAACGTCAAAAGGTGGATCATCATGACCAGGTACCGCTACACATTCTGCTAGAATATATGTTTGATGGTCCACATGTCTATAGGGACAGCATGGACGAACTCGTCGAGAAGGTGACTCAGGACTTGCCACTCAGTATGTCCAACCATTGGATTTCTCTGCATACCTTGCTAGAGCGCTGGACCAAATACCAGGAGACGATATATCCGAATCAGGAGCAGCGCGAACGGGAATGGATGAAGATTACCAATCCCCTCCGGTTCCACCCAGATGGGCAGAGGAGTTACGACGGGTTCCGAAGAGACGAAGAATTGTGCACGATGTTATTGCCGTTGGAAGTCTTGGAGAAGCTGAGAGCCTGTATCAAACGCTCTCGCGAAGCTTTGAGGACCCCCGGTCAGGATTCGCATTCACAGCCGTCTCTTTTCACCTCGACGGATGCCGAAAACCCCACGTGCACGTGGTCCACGACTGCGCATGGTCAAACGGATCGTGCCGATGCGTTGCCTTCTATGGGATCCACCGTCGACCAAATCGCGCTTCGATTTGGACTAGTAATGCCACCGCGTGGGACTACTGGCGTCTCGTCGTGTATCTTGCTACAAACCCCCGTCGGCTCAAGCACTTTGCGGTGGCAGGAGCCGACTGGCGCGAATACCTTGGAGCTGCGCCTGTGGAACACGGAGGACATACTGGATGTGGAAGCTCACGAACAGTGGAAACATTACTTGGAGCATTTCCGAGTACAAGTGCCTGTGAAGACTGCTCCAGAAATACAGGAGGCGATCAAGACGCTGTGTCGCTACGCCCAGGAACGAGTACTGCAGGTCAAACCAGAAGACGTCAAAACGCACATACAGAAGAATCGCTGTACCGAGTCATCATCCAAAATCCGGTTTCGCCGCTAAACAGTATAATCCGAAGGCCGGTATGGCTAGACAGTCCAGACCTGCGCTTTATACGTCTAGACGATAAACGCTTGCAACGCGCGATTCAGGTACTTAACGAGCAGCTGTGCAACTGGACTACCCTAGATTACATTCAGCTCTATTCCACAACTAACCCACTTTTTGACGCACCTCACGGCAACATTAGTGCTTATTACATGGACGTGAGCGCATCGTACGACGCCATGCTACGTTTGCTCGAGTATCAACTCGGAGATTAGGTGCAGGAGTTTGTACACGACTTGTACAATTGACGAACGTCGCGTGCCCAAGAAAAACTGTATGGAAGTGGTGTCACCCCCTAGTGCAGGTAAAAACTTTTTCTTTGATGCCGTCGTCAGCTTTTACATTAACCGCGCCACCATTCACAACTTTTATCGCTATTCAAACTTTCCACTCCAGGACGCGGTAGGTAAGCGAGTGCTGATTTGGAACGAGCCAAACTGCGAATCGGCTGCATACGAAACGATCAAGAAAATTTTTGGTGGTGATGTGGACAATGTAGCGGTCAAGTACTCGCCGGACATGATTGTGACGCGGACCCCAGTGATTGTGCTCAGCAACAACGAGACCTTCCCACGTGACGAAGCCTTCAACCACAGAATGTTTCGCTACAAGTGGCGCTCCTGTCCAGCCCTCAAGCAGTACGACAAGAAGATTCATCCCCTCGCACTCGTCTCCCTCTTTGACAACTACCTGGACGACCAAGAATACAAACTGCAAAGAAACTTGAAATAAATGCTTGAACCTTTTTCACGGTCTTGATATAGACCTTCGACAACTGCTACGACAATGTGGCGGCTTGTGTTAGGTTAGGTTAGGTTAGGTTAGGTTAGGTTAGGTTAGGTGGCCTCTAGAAAGAAGGTGAAATTAGGTAATTATTTAGCTAATTAACTAAAATGTTTTAACCAACTTTTTTTATTTTTTCACTTGAGAGCACATTATATATTTAGAGGAGATTAACCACAGTATGGTCTAGCCGTGACGTCAAATTTGGATAAAAAATTCCTTGTAGGCGCTACGGGGTCGAGAAATGTCACTTTGCCAAATGGCGTCAAACCGAAATTAAACAGGAAAGAGCGCCGGAAAAGTTAACGCTCCGTCCTTCCGGGCATGCGATTGGTCATTATCGCGGCCGGCTCGCCTAAGCAGGTGGAGCCAGCAGGAGCAAGGCGGGAGAACGAGACAGCGTTAAAGTCAACACTATGGTCGCTACTGGCAAACACACAATTTGGATTTCGGCCAGGCACATGTCCACCCCAGACATGTTGCTGTGGATATATAACGACCTCTTGTCAGGTGAACGAACTCCGAAGGGATATTTCTAGATCAATTGGTTTAATCTGTAAGCTAAAATACCTTCTTCCAGCCTGGTTAAAAAAAAAACTGTATATATCTCTGATTCACTTGAGGCTGCATTACTGTTTATTGGTCTGGGGGACGACTACAGCAAGTAGTATTAAGCAATTGTTTACATTGCAAAAACGCGCAGTTAGGTCAATTTATAATTTACCTTGGACGGAATCGACTTCCCTTAGCTTTATTGAACATGAAATATTAATGTTAGATAATCTTTTTTGCCTAAAGGTCGCAATTTCAGTTCATACTCAAATAAACACGAATCCCGCAATATTTTACGAAACATATTTATCCAAGCAAACAAATTACAATTTGAGACACCAGCAGTTTTCAAAATCTAAAATAAGAACTAATTACGGTACACAGAAAATATACTACCAGATAACCGATCTTCTTAACAGAAATTATTGTGTATTCGAATTAGCCTGTACAATAGCGTCCATGTTTCTTTTCAAAAAATACCTTACGGTATACTTCAATATGCCTAGTGTGTATTCCTAGTATAGTTCACATCAAAATAGATTGTACATTTTTTGTGTCTCATATTTTTATCTTCTCAGATATTGTTTTATTTTTGGTTTGTGCTGTTTTTGATTCATTTCCTGTGCCCTGCTGCTGAGTGCTGTAACGGGGGTTGGGACCTAGTCAGGTGATTCGTTTTCGCCTTTTGTCCCAACCTCCCTGACAAGTGTGTCAAAAATAAAAATAAACAAACAAACACACAAACAAACAAACAAACCTCCTGGAGGAGCCAACCATGGCCCAGACTTGGTGCATTCTCGCTCTCGACCTAAAAGGAGCATTTGACAATGTTCTACATATCAGTATACTCAATGGGCTAAGGGATATTGGATGCGGACCGAA